TTAGGACATGGCCAATGGCATGCACTACTTACGGTATAAAGAGTGGGGCTTCGGGTCCCAGCAGCTGGCTGCCCTCCCAGAAGCAATCGAGCGGCGTTATGATGGAGCACGGTATCAGATGCCTCAGTATATGCTCCATATAGTAGTGCCCCTCGAAGCTGGGCGTTGTCGGCGAGTTGCATATGTCCCGCAGGCCCCATTCCGTATCGTTGATCTGCACCTTGACCGCCGTCGCCTTGACCAGCACCTCGAGATGGGAGAGCAGCGCCTGCGGATGCAGCACCGATGCGTTCGGATCGTGGGCCGTCTGGATGATTAGCTGATGCGTGGACGATTCGTCCTCGCCGATCGTCTGCTGTGTGTAGGCCAGCTCCGATTCCAGTCGGCCGCCCTCCTGTATCCACAGCTGGTGCACCTTCGTGTGTATCTGGGCGCTCTTGAGGCCCACACAGAACGTGCTCAGCACCAGGATGGCCACAAAGAGCACCTTGCCCGCATGCTTCTGCACCGAGCTGCCGAGCGTTTCGAGGTGGGATTGGAATACTGAACGCAGATAGATCGCCGTGCGGTTGCCACGCGCCTTGCCCTGTGGAAGAGAAAGAGATGGCACGAGTGTGAATGAGTGTGCTGTTATTTTGAATAGTTTTTTCTTTTTTTCATTTCTGCTTTTGGGCCTTTTTTTTATTATTTTTGAGGATTTTTTTCTGATTTTTTTTTTGTTTTTTTGTTTTATGCCATAAATAACGCATTAAAATTATAACGAAACAGCGTGTGGCCCGACCGCAAGCATATAATTTATATGTTTTTGTAGCATCTGCGACGACCACAGCGGCGCAATGAAGCCATCATCATCATCAACCCAGCCCATGCCCAACGACCATGCCCATGCCAGCAGCAGCAGCAGCAGCCGCAGCAGCGCCCAAATGGACCCAGCCCAGCCTACAAAACAACACAAGACGCCGACGCTGCAGCTGACGGCGACGTCGACGTCGACTAAAACACTGTGCAACAGCAATTCAATTAATAGCTGCATTTCTGTTTTATAGTTCCTTAAGGAGTTCTCCCTTAGATTTAGAGTAAGCAAGTATTACTCTTATTTATAATAATAATTTAGAGTAAGTAGAAATTGTAGTTTATAGAAAAACTTTATGTTTGATCAAAATTTACATTAAAATTTACATAAAAAATTACAGACTTAAATTGTAAACTTAGGCAGCTTTTTCTATAGATGCAGGGTATAAAATTGTTTCATATTTTATCTAATTTATAATAAATATTTTTTATTTATTACAGACTTTAATTGTAAACTTAGGCAATTTTTCTATAGATGCTAAGTATAAAATGGTTTCATATTTCATCTAATTTATAATAAATATTTTTTATTTATTTTTATAATTATTTATAATAATAATTATATGTATGTATATAAAAGCTTATATTATTTTCTTAATACACTTAAATTCCATTTCAGAGTTAGCTAAATATAAAATCCATACACATTTTCTAGATTAGTCTGGGTATCTAAAAGCTTTTCTCTATTTATTTATAATAAAAATGCTGATGTTAAGATCCAAATTTAAAGCAAAACTTTACAATTCATTAAAATTCCCATGCACAGTTAAACTAAAAATTCATTTTAAATAGCTAAATTTTAAATATAACTCTTAAAAAGTTGACAGATTCTCCAAATGCTTTTCTCTATTTTATAATAAAATATTAAGTTCACAGAGATCACAGTTTCATAAACATAAAACTACATTTTCGTTTATTAACACTAAAAAAAAACTTTCATTTGATCTTTAAACTTTGGCTTACACATTAAAAACTTTTCATCTCAACTTGAGCTAGAGAAACTTTACTTTTGTTAAACAGTGTAAGCGTCTGTTTGGCAATTGATCTCTCCCTCTCCCACTCCCTCTCCCTCTCTCCCGCTTTCTCGTCTTTGCTGCACGGAAATCGAGACCCAAATAATGAGCCACACGCTAACATCTCAATCGAACCTTTAACCGTCCAGTCACTGCACAGTGGGTCGCACTCGCTAATCGACTTTGATTTTGACTCTGACTTTGACTTTGA